GTCTTGTTGCAATGGAGAATCGCATCAAGCCAGTTACTTTAGGAGTGATCAATCAGTTGAATCGGTGCGTTTGATCACATTTTGGTGCGAATGTTTTCAAGTGTTTCTGGTCATTTCTTCATTGGTGGCTGTTGTCTATAACAAGTTCAATAAAATTGTTTTCCTTCCAGCGCTCACATCAGAACTGTGATGGTGACGGGTGACAACTTGCTCACAGCGATGAGTGTTGCTCGAGAATGTGGAATAATAAGGCCGAACAAACGAGCTTTCCTCATTGAACATCGTCCAGGAGAAGTAGATTCATGCGGCAGAACGAAAATAATTATCAAACAAGTAACGGATTTAACCTTTCGATGACTGGGCTCGGAATCCTTAATCTTTTTCTTTGCAGTCCGTTTCCTCATCTGGCGACATACTAGAGGAAGACCCACTTTTCACAAAGGCTGAGGTAGATGTTGAACTTGGGAAGCTCATTCAGAGCAGCTACCATCTCGCTATTTCAGGTGATTTTTTCGAGTTAACGTTTGAAGTTTTTTTTTTCGAGGCAGTTTGGCGAGGGGGGAGAGGGCGTTTTGCACTTTTGCTACCGAGCTTACAGGAGTTGACAGGAATAACCAAGCTCTACGAGCTCATTTTAGCTTCACAGGGATTCACAGGTTCCACCACAGTGGGACTGTAAAGCGGAACTAACGAAGCAGCGAAAGTGCAGAATGCCCTCGCCGAGCTACGCCTTATTTTCTAAATAATATGTGGCATTTTTCCCGCTCTTTAAATGTGGGGTACAAAGTGCCTTTGTCCAGGAGTAATGTGAGAAAATGGCCCGAAATAGGAATATATATCATTCTTATTTTAAATCGGACACTTTCAAATCATATAGGGCACTTTTTCAAATAATATCGGGCATTTTCCGAATCAAATCGGGCTCACACAAAACCCGGAGGTCTGTTGCGAGTGTCGAGCGAGACCACGACCTGTCGTGTGAGACTCTAGCCTGCCTTTTTGAATTGTTTTTTGAAAGTGCGAAGCTTCTGTGGAGTGGGCGGGGGTTCCTCGCGGCAGTAGAAATTCAAGATATCCAAAAATGCCAGGAAGAGATGTTGCTGGGTTCAGAAACTTTTTGCGCGCATTTTTGCGACTTAAATATATTCGCCGTACACTCCAGAAAGAAGGATATATCTTACTGGCGAAGGGTGAGGGCTTAACCACGTTAATCATCTGTCTGTTCACTCAACCAAGCAACTTGCTTCAGCTAGTTAAATAAAATGAAATATTTTCAGGCCATGCACTGCTTTCATGATTCTTTTATTCCTTTCAGGGCCAACATTTGCCGTCATCACCCATGAGTATCCTGATGTTTTGTCCTCGTTAGTATGTGTATGCGATGTTTTTGCTCGAATGGCTCCCGACCAGAAACAGCAGCTTGTTAATGGTCTACAGGAAGTGGGTTATACTGTAGCCATGTGTGGAGATGGCGCCAACGATTGCGCTGCTTTGAAGGTAATTGTCACCCATTGGGCTCACGATTTCCCGTGAAAGTGAACCCTTTTCAGGCAGCGCATGCTGGCATTTCCCTCTCCGATGCAGAAGCTTCCATCGCAGCTCCATTTACTTCAAAGGTTGGTTCATTTTTTTTTGAAGGCCTCTCCAAGAAGCAAGCTCATTTGTCTCTAGGTTGCGGATATCCGTTGCGTGCCCACAGTAATCAGTGAGGGGCGAGCAGCGCTGGTAACTTCTTTTGGAATTTTCAAATACATGGCTGGTTACTCATTGACGCAGTTTGTTACCGTGATGCTTCTCTATTACATCTCTAATATCCTCACTGATGGGCAGGTATGACACAGTCTCTGGTTTTGTTTTCGTTTTCTGATTTTTCGTATTTTCAGTTCATGTACATCGATATGTTTTTGATCACATTGCTAGCGGTTTTGTTTGGAAATACGTCAGCTTATGAAAAATTATGTCCTACACCTCCTCCAACACGACTTCTATCGGTGGCAAGTATTTGCAGTGTGCTGGGTCAGCTAGCCATTATGGGCGGAACGCAGGTGATTTCCCTTATTCTTAAGATTCAATAATTTACTGTCCGTTCTGTTTCTATTTTCTTAGACGCGTTCAGACTTCGCGATCGTGCAACCCTATAGAGCGGCCTGCTTGCGATCGCGTACTCTGAACGCGGTCTTAGATAGCGATCTCGCATAGCAGACTAGGAAGAGGGGTCGGACATCCAGAGTTTCTAGAGTAGACTCAAAACTGGCACTCTGAGGAAGAAGGGTACCTGTATCACCCTAGCGCCAATCACTGTCATGTTCCAATGATCGAAAGGGTTGGCTGGACGAGATCCTGTCGCTGACAAGGTCCAATTCACTTGGCCTGGTCATTTTTCTGGTGCCTATCGATCGCTGCTGATGCCTGCTATGTAGACCCGTGGATTCTAAAGTTGCAATAAAAGGAGCTTCGATTACCTTCAAGAAAAGTCTACAGGACGTGTGATCTGAAAGAAAGCAGCCAAAGAATCAAGCAAAAGTGCTAAATACCTACCCGCGCAAGCCGAACGATGACCAGCGCTTGTTGAGAAAATTGTCTGCTAGGTCGTTAACAGTCGATCAGTTTCTGCATTTTTCCAGCTGATTGTGTTCTTATTAACGACCAAGCAGCCCTGGTTTGTGCCTTACAATCCACCACGAGGAGCTGAAATCGAAGACAAGAGGAGCATGCAGGTTTCTATTTAATAATTCACTTCAGTAATTTGATTTTCTGTGACTTGAGATGACCGAAAGATGAAGTAGAACTAATGCGATCTTTCAAGCCCCTCTTCTATCTGAATTTTATGCTTTTACAACTTCATTCAGGGAACGGCTGTGTTCTACGTATCTGTATTCCAATATATCACGCTAGTTGTTGTCTACTCGAAAGGACCTCCTTATAGAAACACGCTGTTCAGCAATCGACCATTTTGTGCCTCCATTGCGTTTGCAACCGTGGTCAGTGCTCTTTGTCTTCTTTAAAGACAATTATCGCGATCAAGTATTGCGGGCAATTGTACTCTGTCATGCACCAGTATTCCATAGTTAGCTTCTCAGTAGAAAAAGAAGCAGAAAAATCTTCGGGAACACCTTGAACCCAAACCTACCTTTAGCAGTGGGGGCGGGGCCTGGACGAGTGTGCCGGGCGTGGCGATGCTTCGGTGCCGGCGCCGCAACTTGCAGTCCCAGACTTTTCGAAATAGCATACTTATCGAACTGTTAATGGCAGGCGTTACCTTTCAGCATGGGGCGGGGCCATGGGACGGTGTGCCGGGCGTGGCTGCTTTCGATGCGGCAGCCGCAATTGCGTCCCAACTTTCGAAATAGGATACTTTCGAACGTAAGGCAGCGTTCATACTTGTAGCGCTACAGCGTCGCGCTACAGCGTAGCGCTACAGCGCCGCTTCGCAACGTACTGCAATTTCCAACGATGGGATGATTAGAGTTGCTTACAGAGAAAATTGGGAAGGTTGCTGGAGTTTTCTTGAGAAATTGACAAGAAAAAAAGAAAAATGACAACAAACCCCACTTGACAACAAATCTCCCTACCATTGGAAAAGCAAGCACTACATTCCATAAGCAAAAAAAAACTAATGGTTCCGCACTTTCACACATGTTTACAAGCCTGACCGAAGTAAGACCTTTAGCTGAGCTATGAGCCAACTTTGGCAAAATGCCAGTGGGACCGCGGGCTTAAAGGGACGCGCGGGCTTCTAAAGAGGGGACGGATGCAGTTCGGGACCAGACGCCTCGTCCACCTACCGTCTCCGTGAGCCTAGCGAGCCTTGTCGAAATTGCGATAACTTCCTCATCGCGCGCCATTGATGGATAAAAGCGGGATCATCTTCATCAAGGCGCAGAGGGTTCCAGAAGGCGCGAAGTCATTTTGAAGGCCTCTCGAGCGCGGATACGTGATTCTTTAAGAGATGTTAGCAATAGTATATAACACGGTTCCGGACCGCGTGACACACATGGTTTGTCACGCATTTGTTTCGCTGCGGTGTAACTAAATTGGCTTTTCTTTCGTGTTCTAACGTTGCCAAAAAACTTTTTTGGTTGCGGGAAATACAGTCCTCGTCACTGCAGACCGGTGGGGCGGGTGAGCCGCGCTGCGTGTGACTCGGCTGTGACGCGGCAGCGATGACAGTCGCGTCACAGCCGAGTCACACGCGGCGCGGCTCACCCGCCCCACCGGTCTGCAATGATGAGCACCATACATACCTCGTGAGCGATCGAAAAAAGGAGGAAATCACTGTTGAATTATTGGTCAAAATTGATGAAGTGATGACGCAGCGTGCGCGCAGTACGGTGGTTCGCAATGTGTTAAGCATGCCTACTTGGTTTGAGCAGAGTTCACTCGTTTTTGACTAAAAGTGCAGATTTTAGGATTTTTAATTCAGAAACTCAATGAAAAAAGTATCTTTGCTTGCTTGGTTCGCGTCTGAAATGCGAGCAAAAAGTTTTGATGCAAATTTCAGCCTTTGAGAGCTCACCGGCGTTTCTGAGTGCTAAAGGTTCGCATTTGAATAAAAAATTCTTACGCTCAACAAAAGTCTTATACAGTCTTATGGCTGCGGAGAAAGGAGCGTGTCAAATATGATGGGTTAGCGCGGCGTCAAACCCGTTCTTCACCAGTTATTGAAGCTGGTATGAGACAACAATCAACGGAATCGACTGATACGAACGATATCATACAATCTCGTCGCTTGCCCGCTTCAAGAACTGGTGGAGAAGATGTTTGGTGCCGCGCCAAACCCATCTCGCCTGACACGCCCCTTCATCCGCAGCGAACAAGACTGTATTAGTTCTATGATAGCAAAAACGTGGCTGTAATTTAACCCATCGATCAATAAATCATTAATGATTGGGGACGAAGAAGGTATTCATGTATTTATTCCAGTCTTAGGACTATAAGAAAAGTTAAACCGAGGAGTTCATGCTTCCATAAACCGCTCTCATCTGCTGTGCATGTTCAACTTTTCAGTTATCTCTGCTCATTATTCTTTGGTCTCCGCCATGGCTACTCGATTTCATGGGCAACATGGATTTACCATCAGCTGAGTTCCGATGTCTTCTAGTGCTCTACGCCAGCATCAATGCTATCGTCTCGTTCCTCTACGAAAAAGTTTTTGTGGAGCGATTTCTACTGGATTATATGGAAAGGTTGGCACGATTCCCCTTTATTGCGTTCTCGTGTCGTAGGTACGTGTGCGTTCATATTTCGCGTCCATGTTTCGAGCGACTAGTAAAGTATAAATATAGATCTAGCGTTTTGTGCGTACGGCAACGTTTTCAGCGACTATCCGCGACAAGTTCTAATTTATGCGCGGAACACTCTCAATACGCTAGATTGATTTCCATACTTTCCTAGTCGTTCAAAACGCTGACGCGAAGTATGAACACTACTTACCCCTACCATGTAGCGTGACTTTTGTGTTTCTGTACGTTCGCATATGCTTCACCATTTTTTTTTGTAGAACAATAGGAAACCTTTCATATGTTAAAGTATGACATGCTCTCGCATTTAGGCAGGCAAAACGCCGTCGAGTTGAGGCTGACTATCCCGATGAGCTGCA